TTCCCAAACCAGAATCGCCACTATCGCAACTATCATCACTGCAACATACAAGTCCCAGGGCGCTGCAACCTCCAAACCAGCTTGCAACCTTTCCAAGTCATAGCGCTCCAAACCCAGTGCAAGATTGTCGCTCTCTCCCTTAACACAGCAGAAAAGACTCACCAACCAACCCAACCTAAAACCCCAAGTCAAGGTGTACGAGGGTCCTGTTGTTTGCTGTGTTGGCTCATGCTGGTATGTTGCTGGCTGCTGCAGCTCTCCTTGGTTCACTTGCTGCCTCGGCGATGACTCCGGTGAAGAAACCCACTCGGCATAGTACTCGTCAAAGTAGCGTCGAGCCACCCTGTCGTAGTAGACGTTGTCATGGTTCGGACCCAAAGACTCCGAAGAATCCGTTCCCCCCGGTTCAAAAAGTGGCTCCACATCCGAACCGATCATAGCCTGCAGCTCGTCGTGCTCTGGATTCTCCAACCACTCTTCCAACGGCGGCTCAAGGTCTTCACCTTCAGGCTCTGGCTGTAGCATCATTACTCTTGGCCCCATGTCTAACCCAGGGCCCCTCATTCCCCACAAACGCATCATGTGTCGTAGGCGAACTGAAGGTACCTGCTTTGTCAAGACGTCTGCCAACTGCCAGTCCCCTGGGCAATGGATGAGGCGAACTTGATCTCGTTGCACCAGCTCCCTCAACCAATGGAACCTCAGCTTCAAATGGCGAGTTCGCCACGAACCCCCATCCCCTTGGAGAATCGCAATGGCCGCTGTCGAGTCGACCATCACTTGGCACTGAACTGGTCCAAGGCCCATGTCCATCAACGTTGCCCTGACTGCGAGCATGAGCTGCACCCCTTCGGTTATTGAGAGAACCTCACTCTCTGCCGAACTCAGGGTTGTCATACCCTGCCTCCACGACCGCCATGTGATTGCAGTACCTTTCCATACCACCAATGCCCCGCCATGCGATCTTTCGCCTTCCGGAGCAAAGGATGCGTCTGTAAAGAGGGTTAGTGTTTTTTCCCATCCTGGGCACTCGATCTCACCTGTCATCATCGAACACTCCTTCGTCGAGTTGAAGTAATTCAAGATCTTTTTCGCGACGACATTGGCCCTGGTTGGATCCCGAGTGGTTAGCGATGCCAAGATCGTCACTGCAAAGGAAGCATCGGGCCTCGTCTTCTGCACTGTCCACAACAGCTCGCCGCACCTCTGCTGTGCTTCTTTGATCTCCTTGGTGTCCAAGTGCTGTGGATCCGGAAAGTTTGTCCCCACCACCAGCAGGTCCTTTCCAGCGGGAATCACACCATGGCCACCGCATTCATGAGCACGAATGATCTCATCTAGGTACCCTTGCTGGCTCATCACATAGCCCGTGTCGACCCTTGTCAACTCCATGCCCAGAAACCTCACCATATTGTTCTTTGTGATCCACTGCACGCCGCTGGTGTCCCATTCGCTTCTTAGCCACTCGTAAAAGCCCGACACAGTCTGAGTCTCACCCACACACAGCATGTCGTCCACATAGAACAGCACGTACCCTAAGATGGTGGACCCCTCCTCGGACTCGTCGTGGCATAAGCCTTCAGGACTCATAGTGGACCCAGAAGCACCAAGGACACGGACTTTCGGAAGACCTTCGGGATTCGTGTTGGTAGAACTGGAAGTCGCCTCGGGATTCGTGATGGTAGAACTGGAAGTCGCCTTGGGATTCGTGATGGTAGAACTGGAAGTCGCCTTGGGATTCGTGATGGTAGAACTGGACGTCGCTTCAGGATTCGTGATGGTAGAACTGGAGGTCGCTTTGGTAACGATCTTGAAAAGATTCGGGTCGGTCTTGCACACCTTCAGCTCTGCTCGAACCCTCTTCCCATCACAAATTGCATCAAACTCAGCATGCTTGGCCTTGGCATTCCTAAAGTCACTCCACCACTTCGGACTCTACCGAAATCCGTACAGCGCGGTATCCACCTCCCATGCTTCCTGCTCCTCCACCAGGCCTGCCAACTGAAGGACACGAGGAGGCTTGAGGGCATATCGTGGTTTTCCTGACGGGCTGTCAGGAATCGGTGCCGACAGAAACGCCGACCTCACATCATCCACTGCTGCATCCCAGGAGTTTGCCCCTGCTTCGCCCAGGACTATCCTGACAAGGTCTGATGTAGCACCTGCAGAGTAAAGCTCCGACTGGTCCAGGTGTGACGATTCGACTTGATTCCCACATGCCACGATTCGGGTTTTCCTTTTGTAGCCTTGCCCTTGATGATCCGGAGGTTTGACAGTGTACACGCATTTGCCATGCACCATCGTCCTTTCGCCCCCTCTCATCACTGCAGCTGCTTCCTTTCCACGAAGTCGACGAATCGCTCCTGACTGCTCCAACGCTTGGATCTCTTTCTCCATCGACTTCTTCCAGCAGTCCAGGTGGTTGATGACCTCGCTTTGACGAACCGTGTGGACCACCTTCAAATCGTCATTCAAACCCTTCAAGATTTCCTCCACGTTCTCGGTGTAGATGGTCTCTGGAGCGGCCTTCTTGATTTTCGGTAGCTCCTCCTCAGGAATCTCTTCGAACACCCTCATCATCTTGGAGATCTCTGGCACCACTGCCCTTGCCTCATCGTTGCCCTCTACATCAACATTGCTCCGGTTCTCATTGCCCACGTTGAAGCCAGCAGCAGCGAGCAGGGTAACATCTGCCTCCTTCAGCCTTTCCTCGCTTCTTATGTTGTAGGCAGCAATCACAATCCTCTCTCCCTTCCATCCTTCTCGAGGTGACTACAGCCTCATTGGCGCGGCTTTCTGCGCGGCCCTCCAGGAGCTTGGTCTGACGGGCGCAGAGGAGCTCTGCACCGCGGATGTTAGTAGCTTTCCGGCCACTACTGTGGGCGCAGACAGCGCCGCGGGTGCTCCCCAACCATCTCCTGCGGTCCCTTTACCGGACGTGCGCTCGGGCGAGGACCTTACGCCCGCAGAGCGTAGCAAGCTGGAGAAAGAAGTGGAGGAGTACGCCGCACAGAAAGAAGCCTTTTGGAAGGCTAAGGCAGACGCCAAGGACTGGGACACCGTCCGTGCGGACCTTGAGGTCTACGCTCTCGCGGGCGAGAAAGTCGCGGAGGATCCCAGGCGTACTGAGGCCTACGAGACCTGGTGTGGGCAGGCCTGAAAATTGAGCCTGGCCCTACCAGGCCGGGGCTTACGGAGGCGGACGTTTCGGCCATCAAGGAGGTGGTGCGCCGCAAGGCTGCAGGGTTCTGGGCGGAAGACACGACCAGGACCACCGTCCGCAAGTTCGCCCACGATTGTATCCCCACCGGGCCGCCGGTCTCGTCTCAGCCCCATTCGCTGAGAGGCGAGTCAGCCCACCGGACAAAAATCTCGGTGTTGGGTCTGCAATCTTCACAAACTCGGGATGCACCCACTTCTCCCGCGCGGCGACGCGCGGCGAAACGCCGCGCCTTGGAAGTCAGGCCGCAGGCGTGGCACACAGTCCACGCGTCCTGGACACGGACCGCGATAGACAGGCCGTAGGCACAGAGCTGAACGATTTCCCAGAACTCCAGCCTTCGCTTTTGCTTGCCCACACTCTTAGTGACAACAGCCCCACACAAGCTTCAGTCAATAAGCTGACAGGCGGTCACGCTGCTTTTGCTTCGTGGGTCCAAGCTCGGTGTGAACCTACGGCCCAGCGTCCGGTCGGACCGCTCTGCAACCTAAAAGCTACAGAACGAAACTACCGTGCACAAAGGCACAAGTCTAGTCTCATACTTGAGCCAAAATTGGCATTCATACGAATTGCAAAACTAACATGCAAGTGAAAACAACACTACAGCACTGGCAGCTGTGCACATGAAGCATGTGTGCTTTGACCTGCTCACATAATACTACTACTACTACTACTACTACTACTACTACTACTACTACTACTACTACTACTACTACTACTACTACTACTACTACTACTACTACTACTACTACTACTACTACTACTACTACTACTACTACTACTACTACTACTACTACTACTACTACTACTACTACTACTACTACTACTACTACTACTACTACTACTACTACTACTACTACTACTACTACTACTACTACTACTACTACTACTACTACTACTACTACGACTACTACGACTACTACGACTACTACGACTACTACTACTTCTTCTTCTGCTACTTCTGCTACTACTACTGCTACTACTGCTACTACTGCTGCTACTGCTACTACTGCTACTTCTGCTACTACTGCTACTACTGCTACTACTGCTGCTGCTGCTACTGCTACTGCTACTGCTATTGCTACTGCTCCTGCTACTGCTACTGCTACTACTACTTTTGCTACTACGACGACGATTACTACTACTGCTCCTGCTACGGCTACTGCTACTGCTGTTGCTGCTGCTGTTGCTGCTGCTACAGCTACTGCTACTGCTACAGCTACGGCTACTGCTACAGCTACAGCTACAGCTCCAGCTCCTGCTACTGCTCCTGCTACTTCGCATGCCCAAAACTCGAGTTGGGCTTGCACTTCAGGCTTTCGGTTTTTGAAAGGTACAGGACTTTTGGGCTTGCACTCGCGTTGGGGTTCGGGTTTCAGGGTATGCGACTTTTGGCCTTGCACTTGAGCCTTTGAGCCTTTGGGGTTTCGGTCTTCGACTTTGCACTTGAGGCTTTGGGGTCTCGGGAAGCGCACAGGACCTTTGGCCTTGCACCTGAAGCTGTGCTGTTTTGGCTTTCAGCACAAAGCGGTCATGAAATCACATGATCTAGAAATTCCCCACAGACGCCGACGACGACGACGACGGCGGCGACGGCGACGACGACGACGACGGCGACGGCGACGGCGACGGCGATTCAGACTTCCCCATTCCCCTTGTACCTGGGGGGAGGGCCACAACTGCTCAGCCATTGGAGTAACCTGGGAATCAGCAGAGAATCTCGTTCCATTCCTCACTGAATCGGGCAGCTTCTGCATGCTTTGCGCTGTGCGTTTCGCGCTCAAAGATGTGGCCATAAGGAGATGCCAGCGGAGCCTGGGACACATTGAAGGAAAGCAGCTGAACTAGACTGGACCAATTGCCCCTTTGGTTGACTTTAGTGCGTTTGGGTTTGGGAATGGGTGGCTGCAAAATCTTGTAAACCCAATAGCCCAATAGCCGGCGAAATTTGTGGGTCTGGAAAGGTGCCGAGTGTTGTCAACCAGTGCTGTCAACCAGGCGGACCGTGCGATGTTGCTGTATCAGCGGGTTGAATTGGAAACAGGGCCTAAACCTGCAGGCCAGCTCCTACCTCTGAGGCAAACGGATAAATCTAAGAAGCGCTTGGAAAGAAGAGCCTCACTGAGCCCCAAGTAGACCCTGCCAAGTTTTGCGAGTAGGCCTGTGGGTACCGGTAGGGCGGTTATAGGCCAGTGGGCTACCGTCGGCCTACGGGGCTACCGCGTAGGTCTGTGGACAGAGTAGGCTACACGTAGGCCTACAGGTCGGTCTATACTCTACACGTAGGCTACCCATAGGCCTAGGGTTGGCATACCCATAGGTCGGCTGTAGCCTTACTTTCGGGCTTCTAGAGGTCTTGTTGATGCTTCAAACAACAATCGACTTTACCAAAACGGCCTGGTCACGCAAAGGACAGTGCAGCATGCGCCAACAATCTTCGAGTGATCGCGCTTTGCATTCTTTGCCTCTGTCTACAACGCGAGCGTTGCGCATCAACCACCACACTGTGCACCACGCCCCGGACAGAACACACATTGAAAGGATCCAGAAAAGACTTGCACAAAACGTGGGGGAACATTGGGTCTAGTCATTGTATCGATGGTATCGTGCATGAGTGAGTTGGTTGGAGACGGAAGAGTTCTTTGTGTTTTGACACGAGGGCATCCCAAACCGCTGCGTTTCTGGGGTTTCTGCATGCTTCTCATTAAGGGCCTTTGTCGCTAGGAGAGGGTTTCTTCTGCAGCCAAAGACATGTCTGAGCCGCCGCCATCAGCTTGCCATCGATTGCACATCGCAATTCCTGCAACGCATCTGACATCGTTGAAGGCATCGTTGAATGGCGAAGGATGCGGTGGCAGAGGCCTCTGGCGCATCCTTCGGGTCCTTAAGCCAAGTCAAAACAAGCCTTGCCACGGGCTCACGGGACAGCTCACCTCTGCCCCTTGAAATGTTCCCCCCAAATATGGATCTTCTCACATTTTCTCGTTCTGGCACGGAAATCTGGCTTTCAGGGGCCCCTGGCCTGCTTTTTCGCATATCGCATCCTGACGCCGCTTGCACATTGCCTTACAAGCTGTTGCTGCTTGGGGCCCAGCACAAGTCCGACGCTCCTCGGGCCCAAAAAAAATGCGTTCGCCTGCGTTCCTTTGCGTCCACCCGTATCGAGAGACAGAGAGACAAACAGAGAGAGAGAGAGAGAGAGACAGAGACAGAGACAGAGACGGAGAAAAGAGAGAGAGAGAGAAAGAGAGAGAGCGAGAGAGACAGAGAGAGAGTGAGAGAGACAGAGAGAGAGCGGCGCATAGCGTGCCCACATGTGTCACATGAGATTGTCCGCGAAGTTACAACATTCATGCGGCCTTAGTAAGAGCACTAGATGAGAAAACATGGGGAAGATAGACACGCTCAAAAGCGGGCACTTCGGGCGCCCGGCAACGCCGCGCAGGCGGGCAATGTCGCCGCGGCCCAGATGCTGAGAACATATTGACTCTGTATTTCACTTCCAAGGAAAGGCCGTGCAAGTGTGTGATGCACATCTTTCACTCGTACAAGTAAGACCACTTTTGAGGCATCGGCATCATCATCATCATCATCATCATCGTCATCGTCATCGTCATCGTCATCATCATCATCATCATCATCATGTACTCTCTCTCTCTCTCTCTCTCTCTCTCTCTCTCTCTCGCTCTCGCATATATAGGGTGGTTATATGCGGAGGGGCGCCTTTCGACTCGGCTTCGGGTGCCGGGCGGCTGGAGCCGGCAGGGGCAGGGCCGGCCTAAGCACTTTGGCATCTCAATTGAAGCAGGAGAGCGCTTAAGAGTGAGAAGATTGAGTGTGTAAAGAGACCGCGGAACTGTCACTCGGGCCCACGTCTTCCGGGTCGCTTGCGCCCGCGTGTTTCGGATGACTTGTGACCACTACTGAGGGGGGGGGGGGGGTGAAGATCTGAGTATGCACCAGTCAATCCAACACAAATATAATGCCACCAATGCATGTTGCACGCTGCTCAAGGGTCTAGTGGATACTACTCTACTACTCTCCTGCCGCCTGGAGGACAAGCAGAGACTTTGTTGACAGTGCCTCAGGGAGGTCAGTAACCGTCTCAGCTTTCCGGGACATGCCCGGTCTGTTCTGCAGGTTCTGCGTCGAGGCAAATTCTCCCTGTGGAAGGTGGCGGTCGGATCACAATGATAACACCACTTCTTTTTGCAAGGAGTTTTGCATAAGAACTGGATCCGACCGTTCCGACCGCATTCGGCTCAGGCTGCGGTCAGGAGCATTTGCTACAAATCGCAGGCACTGCGCCCCTAAATGAATCGCCCTCAAGTTGCTTTTGGAAAATTCCCTTCCAATAACAAGTCGCAAGCACTGCGCCCCTAAATTTTCAGCTGGTAAATAATTAAATCATGGTGTAACAATATCGGGGCGTGTCTTGAAGACTTTCAACCCTCAATTTGTTACATCCAGTTTTCCACTTCAGCCTTGTACGACACACACAGAGCTGGTAACCACCAAAACACGGTGTTTCAACTTAGGGGTCGTGGGCTTGTGCGTTTCGGTGAGGTTGGTGATACATTTAGACGAGACGCAGCGGTTTCGAGTCGAGGCTGCTCCCTTCTCATGGGCCATGAGACACACCTTAAGCCTTCTCCGTTCTCTTCGCTCTGCTCTCTTCTTGCGGCCGATTGAAAATTCGCAAGCCCTTCCATCTCTCGGGCTCTGGGATTGTCTTTTGGATGCTCTCTTGGATGCTCTTTTGGATGCTCTGGGGCTCGGGCAGGTCCAGCACTCCCAAGAAGCTGGGATGTTTTATCTGGCTGCATCACGCCGCATGGATTGCAAGATGTGTGGTGCTATGTGGCGTCCTCGAAGCCGCTGCCTCTGCCTCGAAGGAGCACTGTATCGAGCCAGCTGGCTCCTTCAAGAGAATTTTCTTGTCAGAGACCGCATTCAACCAGAGACTTCTCTCGCTGTCAATAGCGTCCTTCCTTGTGCTTTCGAGTTCGAGAAAACAAAGCTGACGCAAGTGTCGTGGATTCCTCGAACGGCATCTCCGACAGCGGGCTCGCATCCTCGAATCGACACCACTGCACCAGAGATCCCTTTCGAGAGCTACAGCTGCCAAGACGGTCAATGCAGCCTGCAGCGGGGGCAAGCCTCGAAGTCACACAAAGCAGCTCTCGTAGGAAAAGAGATGCTGAGGGGTTCACATGGTGTTACACGGTGTTACATTGGGTGCGCGACTTGGAAATTGCTCATCGCATTGCCCGGTCTGCCTTTAGCGACTCTTGTAACAGAACAGTGCGATCAGGCGCAGCTCATTGCAAACTTGCAAAAGCAGGTGCACAGTCCAGCGCAAAAGCCTTCTGGGGTCTGGTACGCAGGGTCGACGTGATTTCGATGCTTGCATTATGAGCTCGAGTAGTTTCAGTGCCGGTTTGACCAATTCTCACACTTATGATGAGATATGATGAGATATGATGAGATCTGATGAGCGTGATTGCGTTGCCACTACTCAACGCTGACCGCCCAGATCCACTTCATAGGCGAAACGCAGAAGTGGGCATTCCTGAAGATAGCTCAGATGTTGTCGGATTCTCAGGATGAGTTACGCAACATCGTGCGCCATCGTCAGAAACTTGATGACTTACAGTGATTGCGTGCTTGTGAGGGGCTTGGAGAGCGTGCTTGTCAAGGTCCGAAGACGGAAAGTGGAAAATTTCCAAATGCCCGGCGGCTGAGGCATCTCCTGGCTCCATTCGAAGCCTTCGAAGCCGGCATCCTTGGCATTCTGCGCGCAGAGGCTGTAAAACGAGGACTTTGAAAGATTGACAAGTTGCTTCCGAAAGTGTAACACAATGTAACACACCACACTTCAATCATCGGAATTGCGAGCTCCTGCCGTCACGGCGCCGTGCGTCCCCTCAAGCCCTGAGCAAAAACTTGAGAAACGCATGCACACGCATGCGCGCACGTGCACATGCGCACACGCGCACACGCTCAGACGCTCAGACGCGCAGACGCCCTGACGCGCACACGCGCACACCCGCGCGCGCGCGCGCACGCGCAAACGCACACGCACACGCACACGCAGACCCACACGCACACGCACACGCACAGGAGCAGGCGCAGGCGCAGGCGCACGCACAGGCGCAGGCGCACACACGCGCACACGCGCACACACGCACACACCCACACGCGCACACACACACACACACACACACACCCACACACACACCCACACACACCCACACACCCACACCCACACACACACACAACACCCACACACACACACACACCCACACACCCACCCACACACACACACACACACACACACACACACACACACACACCACACACACACACACACACACACACACACACACACACACACACACACACACACACACACACACACACACACACACACACACACACACACACACACACACACACACACACACACACACACACACACACACACACACACACACACACACACACACACACACACACACACACACACACACACACACACACACACACACACACACACACACACACACACACACACACACACACACACACACACAACACACACACACACACACACACACACACCACACACACCACACACACACACACACACACACACACACACACACACACACACACACACACACACACACACACACACACACACACACACACAACACACACACACACACACACACACGCACACGCCACACACACACACACACACACCAAAAACACACACACACACACACACACACACACACACGGCACCTGAACTACACCAGATTTGCCTGCTCTCCCCATCTTGCACGAGCTTCAGCTTCCCCTCCAGGAAGAACAAACGCGTGGCCGGCGGCAACATCATTCATGACGAGCTTTTTTTGCCAAAGCCAAACTATTGGAAGCGCTGCGCCGCTCAACAGTCGCTGGGAAGAGTCTCTTTTAACTCCAGATGAGGCCGAGGTGTTGCGCAGTGAGGTTTTGTCACTTCTTCCCAGCAAGGGGTTTGTCAGCGACGACAGCATAGTGGACAACCAGCCCTTTCCGTTGAGTGTTTGGCAAGCATTGAGTACCTTGACATCTGATCAGGATGTCGAACTTCCTAGACTTCTGCTGGAAGGCGTTTCCACTGGGATTGTGCAACCGATCCCACCTTCAGGTGTATGGGAAAAGGTCGCGAAACCTGTCGCCGTTGAGCAGGGTTTGCGGTTGCATCAATATTCAAATCACCAGATGATCACTCCTGCTTCCCAGGGCCAGAAATCAGCACCGTGATCTTTCTTACAACAAAGCTGACAGCGATGAGCGCCCGAATCTGCAATCCTCAGCCGAAAACTTGCACTTGTGCTTCTGAGACTTCTGGAAGGTGTCACACAAAGAGCGCTTCAACCTCTTCTCCGACACGCTGTCACCCGCATTCACACGACGCCGTAAGAGAGGCCGCTTAGGATTTGGCTTCCCTGTGAAGTCTATCCTTGCCCCAACCCCTTTGTTGCCTTTCGAGGCAGTCCCTTCACAACTGTCTGCAAAGCATCATCAGGCTGCACACATCACCCGTCACTTGCCTTCTGCCTCCTCAGCATCCTTTACGGTTGGAAGCCGATAGCCTTCAGCAGACGGCTATGTGTAAAGATCCATAAACTGCGCAATTGTGTTGCGCCCAGCTGTAGGGCTGTAGGGGTGCCCGCAACCGCAAAGAACATAGGCACTGGCGCGCACTCCAAAGCAATTTTTCCACTCAAGAAGGAGACGCACCAACGTCTTCAACCTCTTCTGCTTCCCAGCCATTGCTCATATTGCTCATAGCCAGATATTCCCCTGCATCTTCGGCTTGACTTCTTTTCTGAGGGTCTCCAGGAAACTCCCAGGACCGATTTGTACAGCGCGCCCCGAATGCAAGAGCTGTAACCCAATGTCAGCCAATGTCATGTCAGAAAACACGCCAGGATAATTCTTCTCGAACTTCTCAACCAACTGATGCCGATCACCGGCCGACATGCGTGAAGAAAGTTGCAAACAAGGCAAGCCCAACTGCTGAGATGACTCAGCCACGCTCTGAGAACCAGACGAAGGAGTTTTGCAGTCCTTCAATTCACACCACACTGCTCTCAAGGCGGCCACAGCAGGATGAATGTCCTAGTCAACTGCATCAGCAGCAATCAACTTGGCCGCAATCAGAGCAGCGTGGGCATAAGCATCCAGCTTTTCCAAACTCCGAAACTCATGAAAGAAAAGTTGACTTGTGACGTACTTCGCCGCAACAACCTCAGCCAGCTCATTAGGTACACCAGCGTTGCGCAGCCTCAACGGCCAAGCGGACACGACAACACAAAGAAGGCAAGGCCAGCACTAGCAATCCTGTCTTCAACTCTCAAGCAACTAACCACCATCGCCACGCATGCAATGATGCCAACACGTCAACATAATCCATCAATACAAAGAAAGGCACAAGGCACAACCAAAATAGCTGGCAGCACTGCGGCCGCACAACAAAACACAAAGGTAGCATTGCAGCTACCAAGAATGGAGAACAACAGGCAGCATTGCAGCCACCAAAATTGAAGAACCGCTGCAGTTGTGAGTGTATGGCGCACGCGCAGCTGACGCTGTACGCGGGCATACCGTCTGTACTGTGAGCGTCGGGCAACATGCATGGGTATCTGGGCAGTCACGCGAATTGACATCTTAAATCCAATTGCCGCAACAACTTCGGCGACCTCATTTGCGGCAAACAAGTTGCAACGACGGTACATGGGGCCGTCCTTTTCCCAAAACCCTCCAAGCACTGCACCTTGTGCGGTGTTGCGCCGAAGCATGAAATCGTCATACATACTTTTCGACGACAATACGGTAGACACAACAAGGCAGTCATGAAATTGAATTCTGCAGAGGCTGTCCAAAGCACAAATTTCCGCCCTCCAACATCCAGGAATCAGTGTGCTGACTCCATTGCGCTTCGGCGCCCCTAAAAGATGCACAGTATAGCCTCCAGTTGAGCCCTGCCACCGAAAACCCCAAAAAATCAGGCCGAGCTGGGACGTGTGAGTACCTTTGTTGTCATGGCCTGTGTCATGGCCTGGTCGTGTGTAGAGCTGCTGAGCTGCTGAGCTGCTGGAGGAAGCGCAAATAGAAATGAAGCGCCAACATGGCTTGGCTTAAGTCTGCGTTCTGTGGCAGACATCTTGGGCTTAGGTCCACCTTGGCTTAAGGACACACATTTAGGGTGCATTTGCGCAGCTGGGTTGCCAGGACATTTCGCTCAATCGCTGACCTTTCGAGCACTTTTCGCGGTTTTCAGCGGCGCCCTTCTCAGACCCGACATGGCACAGCGCAGCAGAACTCTCGCAAACACACACGTCCAAAAGCGATCACGGTGTCGCATGTCGCGGGCTACGAAATGTTACGAGATGTTTCGAGGGAACCCTTGAACCCACTCTCGGGAAAACAGGGACGTCACATTGAAGCCTTCTCAAAGATCCCTCCCCCTTCGGAACTGTAGGCCCTCTTCAGGCCCGTGCCTGCAGGTGCTGTAGCTGCTTTTGCACATCTTGCACATCGCTGAAGAGCAAGCGGCTCCGCCTCAAAAGAATCAAGAGCACCGTGCCACACAGCACGCAGCACTTGAAGCACTTGTCTACGTCTTACGTCTACAGTTCTTGGACTTATGCACATGCGGCAGAACCACACCTTCTGAGAGCGGCTATGCGATCGGCTCGCATCTTCTTGAGGTGCGAAGGATACGTGCACCGTGCGACACGAGGGGCGACCGCCAGGGCTGCAGGTGCTGCAGAGTGCTGCTCGAGAGCGGGGGGGGTCGAGGCGCAGGGACTCACAACGCTCCAACTGTTTGCCAACTCTGTCAGTGGTAAACAGAGACGCGTAACACCTTGAAGATCCCTGAAGCACTTAAAGCACTTAACAATAATCCCTGAGTATTTTGTACAGCGTCATCTCTCTTCTGAGGCCCTGGCGCCTTCGCCTGCTGCCAAAAGACGGCCTTGCACCCAGAAGCCAAGGCGAGAGAGAGAGAGCGACGCCAAAGCACAAAAAACAGAACTAAAACAAGAGTCGCGACACGCGCTCAAAGAGTCTCAAAGAGTCTCAAAGAGTCTCAAAGAGTCTCAAAGAGTCTCAAAGAGTCTCAAAGAGTCTCAAAGAGTCTCAAAGAGTCTCAAAAAGTCTCAAAGAGTCTCAAAGAGTCTCAAAGAGTCTCAAAGAGCTCTTTTTCTCTCTTCTTCTCTCTTTTCTCTTTTTTGCTCTCTTTCCTCTCTTTCTCTCCACCTGGTCGGGAGGCTCCAGGCCCTGGAAGCGCCGCAAGAGTTCTGCTCCGACCTCCAAATTTCACGGAGTTCAAGCGCGTCCCCAAAAGATGGGAGAGCAAACGAGAAAGACCAAAGGACGCTCAGCTCTGTTCTCTCTCTTGACCTCTTTTTGTCTCCTTGTTTCTTCCCAGCTGTTTACACTGACAAGGCACAGGGATGGCAAGGCCCAGGTGGCACAAAGACAAGCGCGCAAGCCTCAGTCTTCTTTGGCTTCTTTGGCTCCTTTGGCTTCTTTGGCTTCTTTGGCTTCTTTGGCTTCTTTGGCTTCTTGCTGTTGCCACTTGCCACTCATTTGAACTCATTTGAACTCATTTGGCCGAGCATCACAGCTGGGTGGACGTCGCACTCGAAACGAGCTACCAGTCCCTGGCAGATGTCGCGCTTCCCAAGACACATTTCATCACAAATCGCCGGGTCCATGTGAGAGACAAAGTGACGCAAGTCCTCGACGAAGTCCCGAGGAACTGTGCCGCCACCAAAGACTCCACCCAGACCGACGAGTGCCAAAACGGCATCCAGCCTCAACGGCTGCAAAAACATGGGCGAATTGGGCGCGAGTTCGCCGCCGTCACAGATGGATTCATTGCTTTGCATTGGTGGCGCTTACGGGTTGGGAGTTGGGACCGCTTAGGAGCTTCATAACCTTTGTGCAAGCTCGAGCAAGCTATTCCGAAAAAGCGCCGGGCACAAACAAAAGAGCCAGCAACCCCTCCGGGAAGGGGCGAGTTGTGTTTATGGCGGGTGCGGGAGTGCGTTCGTGCTTTTTTTGCGGCAGGTGTGGGGGCGCCTTTGTTTTGCTGTGCGTGGGGGGGGGGGGGTGTGGGCGGCGCGATTCTTTTTGCTGCGGGTTGGGGGGTTTACAATGGAAAAATTATCATGTGGAGAATTGGACAGGCGAAACTGTGGCCTAGGGTTGAGGGGAGGGAATACATGCTAGAATATATATATATATATATATATATATATATAGTCCGGCGTCTGGCGTGTTCGCCCCCCCCCCCCCCTCCCCATGGTATGGTCAGGTAGGGGGTGGGGGGGGGGGGGGCCGACTGTGAGCACACGGCAACACCCGTGTGTTGGGAGTGTTGCGCCTTCGGTTGAGGGAGCACGCCCTCGGGAAAACCCATGCGTGTGAGGCGTTTATCCCCCCCCCCTCCAGGTCTACGGTCTCTAACCCTAAATCCTGCAAGAGGTGGTGGAATAGACAAACTATTCAATAAATGTTGCCCGCGCCAACAGGTATAAGCTCAGGGCTGGAAGGAGAATCGCTATAAACAGGTGATGTTGTGCAAGTTGCAATCCAGGTGATAGTATCCCTATCAACGGGTCAGGTCCGGGAGCAAATCCTTTCCCAACAAAAGCCACCCTTGTATCGCGAGCACAAGAGGATACTCGAGCTTGCAAGACTCGAGGGGTGTATAAGCGTATTGACCAATATGGCCTAGGACACGGCTAGAAACCTTTCTAATGGATTCCTCGGCCTCTTCATCTCTCAAAGATCTCCACCCAGTATCACTGCGCGAAAGCTTCAATGACCCTCCAAAGTCTGCGTACGCGACTCCGCTGCCGACGTTACGGATCTCACCTTATTACGCACATCCTCAATATCACTTCCATTCCGTCCAGCTTCCTTGATGTTTGAAACATGCCAGATACTCCATGTTTAGTCATGCGAAGACATGCGTTGGATGCATGAATGGCTCAAGAACAAAAAGAGTGTGAGCGGTCCCTTTTAAGTCTCGGGTTCTCCTTGGAGTTTCGAGGGACTTGACATTGCTCTTCAGAGCTGAGCGACAAGCAGCTGCAGCAACAGCTTGCACATTCAGACATACTTGCAACTTCATTGCATCAAGGAGCATCAAGAAGGGCGACCTGAAACTTCTTCCATGGGACATCAGCGCAGGATTGTGGAAAATTGTCCAGGCTGACAACCACAACAAGATCCTGGGCGTCCTTGCGATGTATGTCGACGATGGACTACTCGCCGGGGAAAGGGAGATCATGAAGAGGGTTGCGAGCCTAATAAAAGGCATTTGGGACACGAAACTTCAAGCTATCCTTGTCAACGAGAAAATTGGCCTCAAGGCTGGCCAAACGATTCGGATTGCAGATGTCAATGTTCCAGTGGTACAGGAAGCCACATTTTTAGGCATCCAAATTCGCCGGCTACAAGACGGAGCACTGTTCCTTACCCAGGAGGCATGGGTGGGCGCAGAGCTGAAATCTCGGGGGTGGCATACCCTACATGGCTCGAAAAGCCTACCTACCTTGCACGAGGGACAGATGGAGATGCAGATCAAGGATTCCCAGCATGCGAAACAACTTCATGAGGCACAGAGTCAGGTTGGAGCACTTTTATGGCTCAGCTTGCGTACAAGGCCTGATTTGGCTGCGTGCGTGGGAGCCACTGCGAGCTTGATGTCCCACAACCCGGAGGAAGCATTGCGTGTAACCAAAGGCATTTGGCGACATGTTAAATACACTCAGTCTTGGGGCATTAGATATGCTGTCGGAAGCTGTGATGAGGTCACGACTTGCAGTGATGCTTCCTGGGCACCCGGTGGGAGCAAGTCTCGTACAGGGATAACAGTGCATTGGGGGGGTCACTTGATCGCATGGCGCAGCCAGCGTCAGACGCTTACAGCGTTTTCGCCAGCGGAGGCAGAACTTGACGCTCTTGGAAGTGCTTTGCAGATGGGATGCAAGACACAGAGTATCATCCAAAGCATTGCGGGGAAACGCTTTGAACATCAGCTTCGAGTAGACAACGTTGCCTCAATCTTGCAGCTAACTGATCCAGGGTACCACACTGAAGACCAAAGAACGCGGCACTATGCCCTTCGGTGTGCATATGTTCGAGATCATCTTGAAGCCTCCAAGACCAAGCTGGAACACTGCTCTGGAAAGGAGTTACCTGCAGATGGCCTGACGAAAGTGTTGGCTTGCACCGCTTTGTGCAAGGCTCGAGAGTTGTTGGGAATGTATGAGGCGAAGAAATCGAACGCCAATTCTTGATCAGCTCGTGTACATAGAGCCATGATGCTACCCGATATCCCATGGTACCGAAGGAATAGTCCAGTACTAGGGTAGGGTAGTCTCAAGGCGCAGTGATGTCAAGTCTACTGAGACCAAGAAACATCAAGACCTCGAAAAAAGAAATATCGTATGGCTCTTTCGGGGCAAGAGCAGTTGTTGCCATAAGCTGTTGTTCCTGTCCTGAGAAAAGCGCCTAGTAGCTCACACTAGCTCGTGGTGTATGCCCGTGGTGTCACACACATTTTGGGGCAGCACATTTTGGAGCAAGGAGATCTGGCACAGATGCAGTTCCAGTCCTCATGGGCTATGAACTCCTGGAAAGGAGGAGTGTTTGAAACATGCCAGATACTCCATGTTTAGTCATGCGAAGACATGCGTTGGATGCATGAATGGCTCAAGAACAAAAAGAGTGTGAGCGCGAGGGCTCCCTTTTAAGTCTCGGGTTCTCCTTGGAGTTTCGAGGGACTTGACATTGCTCTTCAGAGCTGAGCGACAAGCAGCTGCAGCAACAGCTTGCACATTCAGACATACTTGCAACTTCATTGCATCAAGGAGCATCAAGAAGACCTTGTCGTTGCTGTATTTGTGTGCTGGCAGAAGCTGGCTGTTTTGGCGAGAGTTTCAGAGGACGACATTTGGGATTTGTTTGGAAAGAAGGTTGCAGCAGCAGCAGCAGCAACAGCAGCTGCAGCAGCAACATTTACTGCACGTGGGCATTGGCATTTCCATTTAACATCTCATTATCTCGACTCCATCATATAAACTTCATCTCGTTCTCCAGGTGGGACAAGACACGAAGGGTTGGGTTAACCTTAATCCCATCCTACTTGCTTGTCATCTGTTGTAGCCCAACACCCTACTGTTCAGGGCTTCAGGGCACCGGCCCCAGTGTAGGACCCTGTGTGGGATTGGTTGCGTGGTTTCCTCTGTTCCCTATTAGGTTCAGGGTAAGCAAGAGGTCTCGTCAGGACTTGAAAGGCCTCGGGGGCCATGAACATAGATGAGGAGGGACTCCCATCTCCTTCGACCCCTAGAATAAGAGCCATCACATATCCCGATCATTTCAGTCCTGTGACCGACACCACAGGAAGTCCAGAGCCACTCCACATACCAGCACATCCTACGACACCAGCAGCACTCACACCCTTCCCGGGTCATAACCGACACTTGAGCTTCCAGTCATAGTATTGAAGAGACGATGCAGTCGTGGGCCTCACAGTATCAATCAGTTCCTTGTTCCTGTGTTTCCTAGTGCCCAGGGCGCTGCCAGCTGAGTCTTGCGGCCTGCCCTCGGCTATCTCACGTATCACTTGAAACTCACGCTCAACCCTAGAAGCTACCTGAGCATCAACATCACCTGATCCACGGGAAGCATGGATTGCAATAGTATGTGCCTCATGAGCAGTCAGGCTAAGCGACGACACCAGAGTATCAAGTCTCCTAAGGTCCTCTGCATGCTTGCCTACCCCCTCCTTAGCATCGATGACTATCATCTCAAGCTGACACACCTTCCCGTCTATCTCGAGAATCTCCCTCTTCATGTCGTTCTCGGGTGACACTCCTGTGCCAACGATCCTCTTCGATGGACTCGATCCTGCCCTGCGCCAGCTTCCGGGTTTATTATCAGTGGGCGGCGTAAACATATTATGTTCGAGATGTCTACCTGAGGTGGTGGGAGCCGGCGAATTCATACCTGATGATGCACTAGTTCCACCTCTGATCCTTTCAGGTGTGATCCTACCAGCCAAGTGAACCGATGGGCTAGTATCTTCAGTTCCCTTAACCCTCTTGGCGCTAGCATCGGAAGCGTCGTCCTGTTTTCCATGATGGCCAGACCTCATGCTCCTCTCATCGGATTCACTTCGTGTCCTGGAATGTCTCATATTATCCTGATCTCTCCCCTCATCCTCAAGACCCCTCTTGATGGAGTCAGGCCTATGTACCCTATGCCCCTCACCAATCAGCATGCTTCCCAATGCTTCAGCCGAGCCCCCCATAGGGTTTGACGGATCCTGAACATGTGAATCCCTCGTCGCAGCAGCAATGATATCATCACCTGTCAAAACTCCCGACTGATTGAGAATCCCTCTAAGTGCATCTGTAGGGCCCTCATCACCAAAAGGGTATTCGCGCTTCTTCACAATATTATCCACGGCATCGCGTCCCTTATCATCCTCACTCTCGCGGAGACCTGTGGAGGAAAATTGACTGATCGGTGATCCAGTTTGATCCCTGCTATCATGTCTTACCGCGTCGACAGCCGAAGGATTGGTACCTTATAAATCTTCCTGTCCAGGTACAATCATGAGACTCCTATGAGCTGACTCCCCGCCCCCAACGTTCCCTGCAATGGCTCCACCTTCTGAACTGGACATTACGTGAAAGGTTCCTGTCGCACGCTCATCACTATTATGCGTTCCACCTGCGATACTATCACCACGTCTCGTTCTCGCCGTCCTTGACCTAGAACCTTCAGACGTTGAAGATATGGTGAGGCTTCCTGCTCTATCAGGGTGATCAGTATCAAAGATAACATTCAAAGCCAACGGACCAGCAACACTCATATCAGCAATCGCTCTCAAAACGTCCGTATCATCTCCACGAGGCGCCTCAATATTATCATGAATGCCATCCCCTATTGCCAGAGGCCCAAAAGGGTCCCAAGTATCATCGCGCAGCGGCATGTCTTCAAGCTCCAAAACACTCGATCCCTGTATCTGCAGCTGCGTCAAGGATCGCACGCAAATCCGTATTATCGTCCGCCATCTCGTCCACGATGTTGCAACAAGAAAAGGAAAATTTATCGCGATGTGCCCACTCACAGCCGAACCGACAAGGCTCTTAACCTGGAAGAGGTGGTGGAATAGACAAACTATTCAATACATGTTGCCCGCGCCAACAGGTATTAGCTCAGGGCTGGAAGGAGAATCGCTATAAACAGGTGATGTTGTGCAAGTTGCAATCCAGGTGATAGTATCCCTATCAACGGGTCAGGTCCGGGAGCAAATCCTTTCCCAACAAAAGCCACCCTTGTATCGCGAGCACAAGAGGATACTCGAGCTTGCAAGACTCGAGGGGTGTATAAGCGTATTGACCAATATCGCCTAGGTTTCTCTTTTGGCGTCTATCAGTCTCCACCTTATACTCTCTGCCTCCTCCTCCCCTGGCGCCTAGGTTTCCCTTATGGCTTACCAGTGTTAGAAGAGCACAGAGCAGAGTTAGGGGCCTGTACACAGAGGGCAAAAGATCTTTTCTATGAAGATGCTACAAGAGCGCTCTTGAGCGGATAGCGCTGCGGTCGAAGCGCAATTCACTCATTAAAGCTTCAAGATCTCAAACTGTACATGTCTGACATGCAGGTACATGGTCATGCCCCTTGCAACATGGATACCTCATATCATCCATATGCCGACTCCGCCTTCTCGAACAAGAGATATTATCCAGCGTCCATCTTGATCTTGTCGATGTTGTTCACGTCATCCAGTACTACGCTTAACCACACCTAGGGCAAAACCCGAAATATATCCCTGCTGCGTCAGACATACAAGTAAAGTTACTTATACATGATGCGCCAAACAAACCCTAAACCCTAAACCCTTTCAAACCCTAAACCCTAAACCCTAAACCAACCTTAAACCCTAAACCCTAAACCCTAAAACCAACCCCCAAGCACACCACCGGGGGGGGTGGGGGGGGGGGGGGGGGGGGGGGGGGGGGCGGGGTTTAACCCTAACCCTAACCCTTCAAACCCTAAACTCTAAAACCCTGAAACCCTGAACCCTAAACCAACCCTAAGCCCTAAACCCTAAAACCAACCCCCAACCACAACCACACCACAGGGGGGGGGGGTGGGGTTAACCCTAAAACCCTTTCAAACCCTAACCTAAACCATAAACAACCCGAACCCTAAAACCAACCCCAACCACACCACAGGGGGGGGGGGGGTTCCAGACCATGGGTGGGGGGGGGGCGGGGGGCCGGGGAGCACTGGACCACATATATATATATATATATATACTGTCTATATAGTATATATACACACATATATATATATATATATACCATGTACAAAAACATATCTACACCAGAAAATCTATATATACCCTCAAAGATCCACCGTTTTAGCACTTGCAATACATAGTACAGTTCCCGTAGCGAGGTGTACAACCACCTGAAACATTCTGAAAACAAAAATATTTCAGTAAAGTGTCTTAACAAACCCTTCTGGCTTACGTACCCCTTCAACTCAAAACCACCGTAAACTTTCGCCATATGAAGAAAAACAGCACAGTTTAAAACCACCTGAAGCACCCTGAAGAAAATGTTACGGTAAAGTATCCAAAAAAGACTTCTGGCTTACCCCTCGAACTCGAAACCCCCCTACACTTCTCCGTTGCATTCATTCTCTTTTCCCTACGTACCATTTGTTTTCGACGATGTATGGGAAGAACGTCCATTTCCTCTTGCATCGGTAAGACAACCTCTTATTGTAGGAAAACAACGTGTATAGCCCACATCTGCCCTCCGATAACAATTCAAAGAATAATCCTTGGGTTATGCAATAGGGGGCGCGGCGTGTTTGGTGGCGGGGGGGTCTCACACAAAGGAAGTAAGCGCAACAAAACCCGGCATTCACCGAGGGTAACAACACGAAGGGAGACAAGCCTGGAGGAGGGGTCAAGGGGACCGTGAGACAAACTCTGAGAAAAGGAAGAAGACATGCATCACCGAAGGGAGACAAAGGGTGACAGCAGCAGACAAACACCGAAAATCCGGCATTCAGTACACCACTGGTGGCGAAACGTTGGCCGATTCAAAAACCCCATATAGTGTCTGTTAGGAAAGTCAAGGCCAACCATACAAGGATGTCACAAGGACTTTCCCGTGTGCCACGTACACTCAGGCTTTGACACGGCCTGAACTGCGGATAAGTGGTACGAAGGGCTTGCCTGCCACAGAATCCGGTTTCCCCGCCCGGCTTGTGCCTACATTGGGCCTACATCCCTCGCCAAGCCGGCCAAGCCTCTTGCAGCTCTCTGCGAAGAACCAAGTCGACAAAGGAGTCCACAAGGGACAGGATGGCCTCACAGTGCTGCTACAGCCGCAGGTGGGACACGGGATAGCAGCCATGTGGGCACACGGCTGGCGCCAACATGAGGATGTGCCGCTGCACGTGCTCAGCGCAAACTGCATGATCAACGCGGGCAAGAACCAATTTGCAGACCTTGCCACGCGATGGATGCACTGCTTCAAAGTTCATGTGATCATACGACTGCGACGTGCTCCAATCCGAGATCACCGCCAAACGACAGAAAAGGATGACCACGGGAGCTGGAAGGCCTTGCTTGGCCTCAGAAGCGCCTAATTTTGTGTGGAGCACCTTTCGAGCGCCTTACGCTCTCTCTTGCTGCGGAGGCGGTCTTTTCAGCGGGGATAGCAAATGCGAGCCCCTTAGATTGAATCTTCATTGCTGCACGGAATTGGTGCGCTCAGCACGTTTTTCATAGATCTCCATGGGACATGCGCGGACGTGCGAGTCTCATTGACGGCGGACGTGCTTTTGGTGAAAGATGTTACGGCCCAGAACCTCATAGGTCGGTAAATGTCCACACGTTTCCCACCCATGGGGCTTTCTTTGAGCTAATCCGGATGGAGAACGGGTGTACGAAAGACAAGGCTGCAACACAAACTGACAACAAACGGCAAAACAAACGATGACTTGCTTGAGCATGTAACACTATGGGTAGACTATGGGTTTCCTCGCCCAAGCCAGGGGTCTTCCTCGCCGAAACTACTGCACTTGCGTGTTGGGCCCAATCTTCACATAACACGCACAAAGAGAGCGAGCAAGAAAAGAGAGAGAGAGAGAGAGAGACATTTTGGCAAGTCTCGACCCATAACGAAGTGCACACAGCCGGACAGAGGGAGGAGAGAAGAGAAAGAGAGAGAAGAGAAAGAGAAGAGAAAGACGAGAGAAGAGCGAGAAAAAAGAGAGAAGCTCTAGAGAGAGAAGAGCTCGAGAGAGAAGAGAGAAAAGAGAGAGAAGACAGAGAAGAGAGAGAAGAGAGAGAAGAGAGAGAAGAGAGACAAGAGAGACAAGAGAGACAAGAGAGACAAGAGAGACAAGAGAGACAAGAGAGACAAGAGAGACAAGAGAGACAAGAGAGAAGAGAGAGACGAAAAAGCAGAGAGAGAAGAGGGAGAAGACAGAGAAGAGAGAGAAGAGAGAGAAGAGAGTGAAGAGAGACAAGAGAGACAAGAGAGACGAGAGAGACGAGAGAGAGAGAAGAGAGACAACCGAGAGAACAGAGACAGGAGAGACAGGAGAGACGAGAGATAAGAGAGAGAAGAGAGAGAAGAGAGAGAAGAGAGAGAAGAGAGAGAAGAGAGAGAAGAGAGAGAAGAGAGAGAAGAGAGAGAAGAGAGAG